TGCAATTATGATGCATTTATTTGTTCCCTTTCTCTACGTGGATGCAAAAACTCACTCCCTCTAGATACGGCGGATGGTCGCACTCTCCACCTTTCAATCGAAAAGTTTAATCATTGGGCTGGATCACTTATAGGCCAAATATTAGGCCCATAATTCAATTCGAGGCCTGTATTATTTAACGTTCAAATCAAAATTTTTCTGATTTAGTTGCTCTACTTTTTCTTTTGACAAAAAAAAAATTGCTCTTCTTCTTCTTACTTCCTTTCGCACCGTCGCCGAGATTCTCACCGGTCCGGTCATCTGCGTTTGTAAATCTTAGTCTGAAGTAAATTCAAAAGTTTGTTGTTTGTTTTTCCCTGAGAAAACTTTGTAACACTCTCTTGTTAAGATGCTGCAAAATGAGTTAGAGAATTTCTTCCAACTTTTCTTTTTTTTTTTCCGCCGGGTTCGTTTGGTCGTTGGATTAAATCGTTACCGAATTGTTTATATGGGTTTTTGTGTTGCTGTTGTGGTTTGCGTTCGCTATTATAGGAATTATACTTCGTAATTTAGCGTACATGATTTGGGATTAAGTTTTAGGGTTTATTAGAATTGCTAATCGAGCAAAATTGAGCTTAAGCATAATTGCTAATCGTATCCAGTTTTTAGATGGGTTTTGCGCATAGAAATCGAGCAAAATTGAAAATAAGCAATCAAACATCCACAGCTTCTCGTTTTTCTTGACTTAGTGAAGTAAGTTAACTCAGGATTAGGAAGATTAACTATGCTCCTAATCAGTTGTTTTACTTTTTCCTCTCTTATACAAGAATGCTTTACTTGATAATTATGGTCTTACGAAGTCGTATGTCCAAACTTATCTGTTGTTTAGCTGTTCCGAGCTTTTTTTTTATTGTCGGAATCCGTTAGAGTGGAGATGGAGTTGGACCCAAAGAAGTTTGCTGAACTATTGGACAAGATTGAAGCTGAAGCTGATGATTTTCTACTAGCTCGAAGCCAGGTACTCCGAAACCTGTTAACGCGGCATCTAGTTTGGAAATGTTCGATTGCTTCGTAAC